CTTAGCATCTTAAAGGGTTAGTTCACCCAAAAATGAAAACGCTGTAATTAATTACTCCCCCTCATGTCGTTTCAAACCCGTAAGACCTTCGTTCATCTTCAGAACACAAATTAAGATGTCACATGGATTATTTTACAGATCTCCTTGCTACGTTTCTGGACTACAACATTTCAGTTGTATTGCTGTCTATGCAGGGTCAGACAGCTCTCAGATTCCATCAAAAATATCTTAATTTGTGTTCTGAAGATGAACGAAGGTCTTACGGGTTTGAAACGACATGAGGGGGAGTAATTAATGACAGAACTTTCATTTTTGGGTGAACTATCCCTTTAAGTCGCTGGGGTATATTTGTAGCAATAGCCAAAAAAAAACATTGTATGGGTCAAAATTATCGATTTTTCTTTTATGCCAAAAATCATTAGGATATTAAGTAAAGATCATGTTCCATGAAGATATTTTGGAAATTTTCTACCGTAAATATTTTAAAACGTATTGTTTGATTAGTAATATGCATTGCTAAGAACTTCATTTGGACAACTTTAAAGATGATTTTCTCAATATTTAGATTTTTTTGCACCCTCAGATTCCAGATTTTCAAATAGTTGTATCTCAGCCAAATATTATCCGATCATAACAAACCATACATCAATGGAAAGCTTATTTATTCAGCCTTCAGTGGATGTATAAATCTCAATTTCACAAAATTGACCCTTATGACTGGTTTTGTGCTCCAGGGTCACATATTATGAATTAAGCAAAGGGACTGTTTGCTCACCATTGCTCTTTTCTGTGTTCCTCTGTAGTCTTTGCAGCACATCAGTAACTCTGACGACACAGATTTCAGCAAGAAGGACAAGATCCTGGGACTGCTGTGGGCAGCAGAAGAGGCGTCTCTACAAACCGCCTCCTCGGCCTGCAGTGAAAGGTCCATACAGTATATACACTTAATAAAGCATTCTAACTGTTGCTCAATGACATTTCCTTTAACCAGATATGTGTGGATATTCCTCAAGCTTCGGTTTGGCAGGTGCCTTGTGTTGTAATCAAAACGGTGTGCTGTAGGCAGAAGCTGTACTCCTCTCCTGAGGTGCGCTTTGGACAGGGCTGGCTCAACTCGGCAGCATATGTAGCAGCTGCTCATTTCCACGCCAACATCGAGAGGTCTGAGAAGTTCATGGCTCCTCTGCCAAGCCGAGTGCTGCAGGTGTCTAATAGACCTCCCAACATTGCCAATCTTAGCGCTGAGGAGAACCACGCACTCCACATCTTCAGCTGGATGAACAGTGTCAATCAACTGCTTGGTAAGAATATCAGAGGAAAGGGTGGGAGGGAGAAAAGTTATACACTTATGGGTCCAGAAGTCTGAGACCACTAGTGAAACTGCTTTAGTGCTGTAATCCTCTGCTTTAATGGGACCCAAAACACCTGTCATTGTTCACTCACCTTTTCATTCTGTGTTTTTGTTCATACAATGAACACGGAATGACATACAGTATATGTGAGTAAATGATAACAGAATGTTTATTTTCGGTTAACTATCCCATTAATGACAGCAGGACTGGAGCATGATTTTAGATGTTCCAAAGAGCTTCACAGGAATAATAAAATCTGACCGTCTCTACAACGATGTTGATTTAAATGTTTAAATTCTTAGACTTTTGTACCATGCTACATGCATTTGTGGCTCAGTACATTGATGGATGAATAAAAAAGTGAACCGTGATCAGAGTAGATCGTGCAATGTACAATTTTGGTGGGAAATAATTTCACATGATTTCATTGTTGCACAAAGAGCTTCTTGGTTTGCTTGTAGTAGAGCACAACTATTACAAATTAAAATCGTTGCACAATTGTAGAGTGATTACCAGGCAAATTTAAAAAAATTGTCAAGTGACTATTTGCAATATTAACCAATATAAATGAAAACACACAGTCTCAGTCCAGGTTATTTAGATTTTGTTTCAATTTTTTGTATGTATGTATTTATTTGAAAACAGGTGGCTCCCTTGTGAATCTCTGGCGGAGTGCTATGTGTTCACCTCAGGCTCGGGAGAAAGGTCAAGGCCTTCTTCACGACCTCATTCTTGACCCCAAGTTCCCTGGTACCAGTCTGATGGTAATCCTGACCCAGATGACCACCAACTGTTAACAATCTCTAATAAATATAAAAACTGGGTAGAATAAACCTGTTTCTAGTAAATAAGAGCTGTTTACAGTGAACACCTTACTGATCTGCAGACGTTTGCGGTGTCCACAACACTGCTGCATCCCCGACGTGTTACCATGACAGCCAGTGTAAACGTATATAATTTGTATCTTATCCAAACAAAATAAAAACAGAAGAAAAAATCAAACATGGATCCTTTCCATCTCATTTATTCAAAGTAAACCAGACAAAATAAAAAATAAAATTGATGTTTCTTTCTTCACAAAATAATATAAAAAATACACCCACTTTCAATTCTATATATAGCCAGACTGTACAAAAAACTGCCTTTATATATACTTGTTTACAAAAAAAGAGTGATTCCTCTGGCATCATTACTTGAAAGCAGCTGTCACTGTGGCAGTACCCTTTTAAATGGTACTAATATCTATACCTTGGGTACTAAAACGAGCCATTAAATAAATAGGGTATAAAAGCGTCACCCCAGTGATAGCTTTTTGGACATTTTTTGGAGAGTGCATGATCCACAAGCCATCCTCACCAAATATAGCCGCATCCTTGTTGTCATTGTTGCATTTTTGTCCAATTCCAATACATTTTGAATTCAATTTTAATTCCTGTCATAAGCCATGTTGACAGGGTGGTGGATAACACTTTATTTTAAGGTGTCCTTGTTACATGTACTTACTGTTATAATAACAATTAATTATGCATATTTACATGCAAGTAACCCTAATCCCAACTCAAACCATATAGTAAGTACATATAGTTAATTAATATTCCTTAGTACTTAAATGTATAACTACACTATAACAAGGACAATTGTAATACAGTAACACTATTCGGCTTGCACACCAGTGTGACAGCAGGTTAAAACAACACAGCCTTGGATGCATCGGTAAACAGCCGCTAAGTGAAGCTTTTGGCATCTGTACAGTGGCGTGCATTCGCTCGGACATGCGGCAGCACTGGACGCTTTGTGAGTAAGAGCAGGTTGTGATCCAGACACTAGAACCTCCTTTTAAAAAGTATGTTTTCTGTATGATTTATTAATATCTCTCATCTACAGCCTGAATGGGTTCTATGTGATTTTTCAAAACATATTCATGATATTGTATGGAATTTAATATACAATATCTGAATTTTTCACTTCACTTCTGTGAAGACTGACATGTCATATCTGCTCTCCTACAGGACTAATAAGGACCTAATAAATTATTTGCATTCCATCAGACTTACAGTCATTATTAAATAGACTTTGGCCATGTCAGTCTCATCATGTGAAATTAAAGTAAGCGGTTTTGGAACACAGCCATAGTGAACTTCATAGTATACTTATATTGGTTTTCCTTTGCCTGTGTTAATGTTAATGTTATGTCCTCCTTATGCTGTCAAGCTGATCTTCATCGATATATTCATAATCATGCACCTCATCGTCATCATCTTCATGTTTTGTGATGGATATGTTGTCCAGACTTTGGCCCTTGGCAAGATCTGAGGGGGGAACAAACGCCCACTCAAAATTTAGGTGAGGACATAAGGACACACAAGCTTTAAAACACAGCCTGTTAAAGGTGAAGTGTGAACTTTTTTTTGTTTTGTTAAAATACCTTCTCATGTCAATCCTAAATATGTAGAGCTAATTATAAATAAGCAGTTAGTGGGTTGATTTCCTTAAAAGTGGACATTGCTCTGGCAGCACAGCTGACTCAACCAACAGAGTGAGTCTGAAGGAGCAAGTGTTCAGGGGCCTCATTTATAAAACACGCATAGGCACAGATTTGATCTTAAAGGGGTCATCGGATGCCCATTTTCCACAAGTTGATATGATTCTTTAGGGTCTTAACCCTTTAGGCGCCAGGGATTTTTGGAAAAATGCTGGATTTTGACATCAAGATTTCAAAAGCTTGTGGCTTGAAAGGGCTTAAAGATAGAGATCTAATGTAAATTAGAAAAATGTTGGGCATGAACGAAAGTTTATGTGGGGTGTAAATATACTCATCTAATTTGCATATTATGACGTCATCAGGGGCGGCCATCTTGAATTTCATAATATTCAGGAAATAGTAGATATTGAATTGATGTTTGAACTTATTTGCATGTTTTTTGTTGTTGTTTTTTTCTTTTTATCCTCATTCCAAATGATCAGAAAAGAGGAAACCAACAATAAAACAGGAGAAAGTACTAAATTACCAACAGCTCATCAAAGCATTTGATCCAGTCCTGATACACTTCTTCATTTCTCAAATAAACCCAGCCACCATTGTCATCGCTATTTCCAGCCCTATTTAGATCCAGATCACCCCTGCTGCCTCTACCACGTCTCCCAGCTCTCCCACGCACAGCACGGCCACGTGTACCGCGGCCACTCCCACCTCTTTGGGGCAGCTAGTGCTACTTCCAGCCCTATTTCTCCCTGCTGCCTCTACCTCTAGCAACAGCTCTCCTATGGACACTACAACCACGTTCACCCCTGCCACCCCCATCCCCGTTGGGCAAAGGGTCAAAATGATCACTTGTTTGTGCTTCGTGAACACTCTCGCCTTGCACGGCGGCACCATTGCGCTGCAAAGAAGCGCGATTATAAGACGACCGATCGTCATTTCCAAAAGCCAAATATTCCCCATCAGAGTCAGAATCAGCGAATAACATTTGCAAGACATCCTCACGGTACAACTTTCTATTAGCCATTTGGCGATTTTCTCTCACAAATCTCACAATTTACTTGCACGCTATGAACTGAACTGCTTCCGCATCAATGACACGAGGAAATAGCAGAGCAAGTGAGCTATCGAACACTTTGAATAGGAACATGACGTAATTTTGGTCTAGAATCGAAGTACTACATGTCTGCCATCTAGTGGTAGGGAATACAAATGAGATATTACACCATATTAGGAAGTACAGTCTATTTTATTAAGTATGACGTCTTGTCGCAATTTTGCGACTTTGGTGCTTAGAGGGTTAATGAAAAGTCTATAACATGCTTTGGTTAAAATTTCTCAATGGTAGTGTAAAACAACACCCTTTTTACCCTGTCAAAATCAGCTCTTTTCAGAGCAACCTGTTTTGTTGCATGTTCCTTTAAATGCTAATGAGCTCTGCTCTCTTCTGTGGGGTGATGAGCAGTAGTTTACTTTAGCCGCGAAACTTGCTAAGTAGCACATTATTAGAAAAGGCGATTTGCAAAGATTCATAAAAAAAACCTTATACTCACTTCTTCTGGAGGTGAAGCTGGATCGCGAATGATTCGCGCGAACATAGACGCATTTAGGTAGATCGGGGGAGCATTCCCTTCAAAAGCTAAAGTAATCCACTGCGAGTTCAGCAGCTCAGATGTCGGGAGTAAATGACGACTGCTATGTTCATTATTATTACATCCAACAACAAAACACCTCAATCGCTTGTTAGGAGACACTCTTGTCTACATCTGCTCCAGCGGTGAATCAATGGAAGACTGATGACAGCTCACTCAGGGCGGAGCTAAGGTAAGACACCAGTGTCAATCAACAATTGTGGGAGGGGCCTGGGTCCATGTGATGTCACACAGACAAGAAGCTGAGAACGGCTTGATTTGAGAAAGGGGATATTATTTATAGGGATTAAATAAAACCACTGGGTGGATTTTTATCATTATAGGGTGGATGTGTACAAACACTGCCAACACACATTTCAGTTCACACAACATGTAAAAGTGAATTTTGCATCCGATGACCCCTTTAAAGTGTGTACACTAAAATCCACGCCAATTGTCAGATTTATAAAAACAATTAGACACATTTGAGAAATGATCTTAGAACAAATGTAAGACAGTTTTAACGCAACATTTTATAAATGAGGCCCATGGACATCTGTTTGAAAACGACCATTATTTTTGCATTTTCAGTTGATGCTATGATGCTGATTACACACTTCACGTTGAACATGCTGATAAACACTGAAGAGGGGTGTAGCAGAATGTTCCTACCTTTCTTCTGCAGGGTAGGTCTTGGCAAAGTGACTGGACTAATGGGAATCTTTTTGTCATTTCCATTTTTTGAATCACTGCATTGAATGAAGTCATCTTGCTTAAAAGGTTCAACACAAAGACTCTGTGACAGGGATGACAGAACATTATGAAATTACACAGTGTACATAAGTGAATATAAAAGTTCCATTACAGTTTTAATTAATGGCTTTGGGATTATTTTCAAAAGTAATCTTTTCAACAAGTATACAAGTAGTCTTTCAAATCAAATAGCAGATTTTGAATAGTTTTGGGGGAAAAAAATACTATTGGTGAACATAGTACTAAAACAAATAAACAACAGCAAAACCTGATGAGGAAAGCGTCTCCTTTCAATTAATTCAACTATGATGTCAACATATGCAAAATGAATTTATGTGATGCTATATTAGGCCTATGTCATGTTATATTGCTTTGCAATGTAAGCGTTATAGCAGCATATACTGTATATGTAAATACTACATTAATGTGGCACACATGTCAGGCATAAAATGCAACAATTAGTTTTATAACATTTTTAAAAATAAATCCCTGTTATGTCTTTCTACATAACTTACAATGTACAATAACATCCCCTTACAATGTCTGTGAGGTTGGCCTGTAAAATAATATCTTGATTGAACAGTTGAGTTTTTATTGCATTGTCTAAGTAAAATAATCCACTAGGAGGCGCTTACAACAGTTTTATCAGCCTTCTGCCATATTTGTGTTTATTTATTGTTTTGTATAATACTGAAAATAAAATCAATGAAATGTGCATTTAAAATGCAGATCTGCATGCATATTTAGCTTGTTTCATATGTATAGGTCTCTGAATATATTCTGATAGTTATTACTGGATTTTCACATTTTGTTTCTTTTACACTTTCAGATTCAGATGTTCAAATTATTTCTAACATAAGGCAATGTTCTTCATTTAAGAGCATTCATAACTACAGACTGAAATACATTTCACATTTACAAAGTTAAATCAGTGTGGATGTGCTCTTATGTGTTTTTGTGTTTTGCAGCAAAGCTTTTGATGTTGAACTCCAGCTTTACCAGGCGAGATGAAGACTGTTGGTGGATATAGACTATTCACAGATCATTTCTGCAATGGCTTGACCTTCAAAAATCAAGTATTTCTGGATTTTTAACTATGTGCATTGGGCCATTGTATTGCTAAAAAAAAAACTTGATTCTTAAATGCAGATCTCTGACTTCTTGTTCACTTATGGTAAATACACTCCTTAAGCATGTGTTAAATATTCTCTTCTATGTTACATAAATATTAAATGTTGGTAACTATAACCTATCCTTTGCATCTCTGTGTGAAATAAAATTGCAAAAAAATATCTCCATCTCTGTCTGTCGAAATCTAAAACACAATAGTGTAAGTATTTATTACGCATTTTCAGTTTTGCTTTTTGAGGAAGTCACACGAAGCTGAGAACCATATCACATGACGTTATTAGTATAATTGATTACTATTTAATGTAGGTTTATCTCAGCAATGTGGGTGTCTTAGGCAACTAATGTAATAATAATAATAACAATAATAATAAGGAATTGAATTTTTTTTGATTTTATAAAATATTATCCACCTTTCAATATCCATGTATTGTCTTACTGCATGGGCAGATTTTTCTATCTGCCAGTGTTAAAAGACAAAATATATTATTATTTTATATTATATTACATTTATTATATTATATTATATATTACATACAAAATTTGAAAACAAATATAACTTTTATATGCAGTTTTGCTTATCAAGTAAATTTTTCCATTTTCAAAAAATTCAAGTAAAGGATTTTTAAACTCATTTTTGCAGTTTACCATAAACCATACAATAGGCAAATTTTACATGTATTTTCTTTGCTTTATCTTAAAGCTTCAGTATTTTTTACTTACAAGTGTTTTGTGGATGGAACTACTGTACTTGGCTTAGCATGAAACTCTCCTATCTCTTCTCTCTCACCAAACCTACAGTGCACACAAGCTCTTTAATACGCCTTAAATGATTTACAGTAAGCAGCGTGAGTCTCATGTAGCCTCACGTTTGATTATTTCCGTGAAGTCAGGTCCACTCTGCAGCTTACTCTGGCTAAGAAATACACGCCACCCAAATGTATTAGTAAATGTTGAGCTCTAGTCATTTTCTATGCAGTATGCATCAGATGGTCTGTGAATGGTTTGTGGGTGTGCTGTCCAATGGTGCGGTCCAAAAAAACAATGAATTATACAGGAATAACGACAGTGAAATAAACATCCAAAGCTATTCTACTGGCTAACAAGCAAATCAACTATAAATAACTTCCAAAAAAAGTCTTTGTTACGTACGTAACCCTCATTATGTCGTGACAACATAGGGGGTTCACTTGGGAGCCCCAATCCTCTCGGACTTTAAGAGAAAACGCCAATGAAATTTGGCTAGTGGATTTTGCATACCTGAGCCACTCCCCGTGCATACAGGCATAAATAGGCGACAGGTGCATCCACTCTGAAAACTTGTCCCTGGCAACCAGCGATGGTTCGAGGTTGTGGCATGGGGACATAACGTAAACTGAGACGTTCCCTATCTGTTGGTCACTACAAGTTATGTCGTGATGACATGGGGGATCCATGGAAAGTGCCACAACCTGAACCCCATCACAACCCTGTAGTTCTGCAAATGTTGACAAGCAGCCACGTGTCAGACAAATGCTACGCAAAGGTCGTAATCTTCCCAACGCCCCAGCGTAAATTCGCTGACCTTGGCACCCGCAGGGACCAAAAGCTGGAGATAGCCAAGCCGCTGTTCCTATGACAGAAAATCTTTTCTTAACACCGTGTCTACACCGGACGTGACAGTTGTCGTGTCGTGTCTGCGCTGCAACAGCTAAAGTCTGTCTACACTGGACGGTCTACAAAGCGACCATTGAAAATCATTTGAAATTTGTGTCAGTACATCATAAATACAACGCAGCAGCAGTTTACTGTCGGGAATTTGTCATGCTGCGCCGCATCTATTGTAGACAGCATAATAGGTTCTATTGTATTTTGTCGCGTCGCACCGCTCGCGTCCGGTGTAGACACGGTGTAAGAGAAGGGATTTCGATCATCATGAAAGGTGCTTCACGCCTTTCCTGTTTTGTTGTTTACAGCTAAGCAGTAACGAAGGGGACGCAAGCCTTCCGGAGAAGGGCGCTATGGAGACCACATCCTGCCCGTTGGGAGGTATCATGTGGAGACAATGACATGAACTGACCCAGGCCTGGGACAGTACTAAATGGAATGGGTCTCTGAGGCACCTAGGAGTAGGGAGGAATGGCTGCCAGCAGAGATTTAACCAGCATTTAACCTTCTGGCACCCCTCAGGAACGTGATGATGAGATCGTGCTTTCCCAGGGACCGGCCGTCCACTGCATCGTGATGTGCTGGGATAGCAGCCACATACACTTTCAAGATGGAGGGTGACAGCCTACGCTCCAACCTTTCTTGCAGGAAAGAAAGCACTACTCCAATCGTGCATCTTCGGGGGTCTTCTCAGCGAGAAGAACACCAGTTCACTAACAGACTCCACTTCAGAGCATAGGCTTGCCTCGTCGAGGGAGCTCTAGCCTGAGTGATCGGTCAGGGAGTAATACAGCTGGCAGTGGGAGGACTCGTGGGAAGCAAACAGGTCTACCTGAGCCTCCCCGAATTGACTTCAGATCAGCTGGACTGTCTGGGGATGGAGTCGCCATTCTCCGGAGAAAGTGAGCTGTCGTGAGAACATGTCGGCCGCATGATTGAGCTCCCCCGGAATGTGGACGGCGCGCAGCGACATGAGCCGCGTTTGGCTCCAGAGGAGGAGATGGCGGGTGAGTTGAGACATGCGACGTGATCGTAGACCGCCCTGTCGGTTGCTGTACGAAACAGCCCGTGTTG